CTGAATGTCCTCAGCCATGCTTAGTCAGTATGCTCTTGATTTAAGTACACTTATAAGTTCAGAGCTTTCTAAGTGACTGAATTTCTTATGCATACAAGTTATTAAGTCACATCTAAATAAAGATTCTAGATAGAGAGCTTCTGTGTATTCTAGATTACAGTAAAGCACAACATTATTTTCATTTCTCAATTTTCTTAGCTTGAAGTTCAGAAGTATCTCTTCTACTACTTTTACAAGACACTTATCATTTAACATCTTATCATTCTTCAAGTGAGAGATTATGATATTCACTCATTCTGATTCCTTGCATTCTCTCAGCATGTTTATCATAAACATCTCTTATACCTGGTTTACAGAACTCTCACTCATAAAATCAGGTCTGTGACTGATTGCATCAGATATCATTATATTCAATTTCTTTCAGTATTTAATATGAAGATTATATGCTTGAAACTTCAAGATTCAACATGCTAAGCATTTGAAAGGTTTTATCATTGATTGTAGATAGATAAGAATTTTATGATCTGTGATTACTGTTGTTATATATCTATTATTAATATATCTATCTCACAATATCAGTATATGCTTGATTACTAGCAATTTCTTTTCATACACTGAGTAATTGAGCTCAGTGCCTGATAGTTTTCTATCATTATATATTATCAGGTGCAGCTTGCTGTTCTTACTCATCTGTAGAAGAGTGTCTCTGATAGCTTATTCAGATATGTTTATCTCAATATAGAAAGATTTATTATGATCTGATTGAATAAGTACTGAGAATGTTATTACATATTCTCTCAGTGTGAGAAAAGCCTCTTCACACATGGCATTTCAGATGATTGAATAAAACTTCTTCTTTCACAGATTTACATTCATTTCTCTTAAGAGATCTGAGAGTGATGCAGATATTCATGTAAAATTCTTGATAAATCTGCAGTAGTATGAGATCAACTCAAGAAACTGTTATACATGATGTACATTTCTCAGTCACAGTCAATTCACTATGACATTCAATTTCTTCAGAATGAGATATATACAGTCATCACTCACTACATATTCTATAAACTTCAACTCTTTCATTTCAAACATATACTTGATTGATTTAGTATACATCTTATACTCTGTCAGAGTTATAAGCACTTTATTAAGATGCTTCAGATGTTTATCATATAAGTTTGAAAAGACTAGAATGTTATCAAGATATATAAGATATGAGATTTCATTCTGTTTATAAAGAATCATATTCATTATCATTTAAAAGATGACAGATGTATTTATTAGATCAAATGATATTATCAGAAATTTGAACTTTTCTCATTGCATATTAAATGCAGTTCACAGAACTGACAGTTCATCTACACAGATCTACTAGTATTCTGAGAGAAGATTAATCTTTGATAGATATCAGGTATTTCTGACTGTATTCAACTGTTATTGAATTCATGGCAGTGAATATTCATTCTTGATCATAAGCTTGTTAAGTGCTTGATAATCAATACATATCTGTTACTTCTCACTCATCTTTTTCACAAATAGAACTGGAAAGCCTCACACACTTGATAAGAGTTGTATGAGATCACATTCTAGAAGGTCAGTGATCTGACACTTCTGTTCTTCAAGATGTATTTGTGACAGAAGATACACATTCTGATTGACTGGTTTTGCATTCTCTGTGTCAATCTCATGTATGAATTCTCATTCCAGCAGTAATTTCAGTGAAAGATCTGTTTAAAAGACCTTCTCATGCTTCTTCAGAAGCTTCTTCATATGTTTATTATCTCATATATTCTTTATCTTGATTTTCTTCACTTTCAGGTCCTGTATGACATACAGAATGCTTTCAGATAAGATCTTGTAAATTGTTCTCTTTACTTATTAATGTGTAAGCAGATTTAACTCTTCTATATCAGAGATATAAAATGTTCTTCTCATATCAGTTAATAGAATTGTATAAACCATTTTCTTCCTATCAGTTAATTACATATGATATGTACATCATTGAATCTGCAGATTGAATCTTTGAAACTAATTGAGTCTGAGAATAAGATTGTATTTCATATTCTGCAGCTCTTATAATTAAATATAGCAAGATCATTCTCTGAAGTGCAAGAAAACTCTTACTTTTACAGATAATATCAAATATCAGTTATCAGATAATTTTATATATCAGAGATTCTTCACTCAGCAGACTTCTTTCAATCTTCAGATTATATAATTATTAATATATTATATAGAAGCTTCTATATCTGCTAATACTTTTGCAGCTATCTCTTAATTCTTACTCAAGTGTCTCTTATACATTAACATTTCAGATCTCAAGGCATTGAGATGAGTATTCACTTCATTCTTACTCACATCTCAGTCAGAAGCCTGCTTTCTCTTGATATTTACAGAATTCAGAGAGTCATCTAATACAGACATCTCTTTCACTTTGAAGACTATCTATAGAATATCAGTGAGTGTCTTCAAGCTCACTGATTCTGCTAGTTTTTTAACTCTCTTACTTCTCTTAACTGCATACACTGAGTGTAATCTTTTATATCATGATTTTAACATCTGCAGTTAAAGCAAGCTTAATACTCATAATATCAAGATTTTCACTCAGAGAATTTCTTTTTCAGAGAATTCAGTGCTTTAGCAATGATATGCAGATCTAGATTCATTATATCTGAGTGTATAACTTATGTCATAGAAGTCTGATTACTCATTCTCTACTGAGACATACTCAATTGCAGTATTTTCTGTTATAATTGACTCACTTATTTCTGTATAATGAGAATATTATATGCTTTCTTCACTGTGTCTGACTGTGAGATTAAGTATTTTCATTTCACTCTCAACTCAGACATAAGACTATGAATGAAGATCTGTAAATAGAAAGATGTTAAAAGCTCTTCATTCAATGCAAGATAGTGTAAGCTGAAGTGTGTGAAGTATAATATAAGATCACTCACTTATCTATACTCAGTGAAGTATTTATAACACTTGTCTTATATATTCACTTTCTCAAAGTTGTGTAAGATTTATTTGAAAAACTCATTTCATATTCATAAGAATGAATATTACTCTGAGTCTGTGAGATTTATCTTTTTATCAGCTATTTATAATGACTTTGCTTTTCTATGTAGAAATGCAGCAGATCTTAAGACTTGTTAAAATTCTGTTAACTATCTGTCTGTAAGTTCACATTCAATCTGATAATATAATCATATCTGACTTAGTCAGCTGATTGCAGCATCATTTTTTCAGTTGTTATTAAAGCTTAATAGCTTCAGCAGATCTCTCAGCTTAATGTATTTCATACTCAGATTCTCATTCTGTATAGTAGTCTCTGATAATATGTACACTTCTGAAGAGATTATGAATAATTATGATGAGATCTTCAGATTCAGTGTAGTTATCTGTCTGTGTAAACATTCAATCTTCTGCTGCAGATCTAAGATCTGGTTTTCTCTATTCTTATTAATGATGATAATTGTGTCAGTGAAGCTCTTCATAGTGAATACTTAATCTGCAGTGAATGTTAATTATTATTTGACTTCTGTCTCAGCCTGTCACTGCATACACAAGGTCTCAATCTCATTTAGAATCCTTATACATGTACAGAGCTTTAATTTCAGTTCAGTAGTTTCAGCTGTTTTTCTTACTGCTTTGAGTAAATTCTCTGAAAGGTTCTGCATATCTTTCAGTTCAGATAGTAGAGAAGAGTGTTATTTGTATCAGCTAAAGAAGATATTCATTTCAGTGATTTCTCATTGATTGTATAATGTCTATTGTTATATCACTGTATTGTTATATAATTTCTGTTATTATTATATAACTCTGATAATGGTCACTCTCTCTTTTATTCTTCTTTTGAGTAGAGAGTGAACTTCTTTGAATCTAGTTCACTGCTCTCATTCTCTTTCTCACACCTTATCTGTTCATGTCTCATACATGATATTCACCTGGACATGAAGTTTTCTCTTAACAAGTGAAGCAGTATCAATCAGATGCTCTTTCACTCACTGTTCTTTATACACTATCTTTTGAGATGTTCCAGGACCACACTGGCATGATAACTATAAATCACTTTGTAGATGAAATTATCATGCCCTGAAGAAGCCTGCACTTCTCACTGGTTTTTAGACATGCTATCAGATGTGATTCAAAGGTTGCTTAAGCCAGTGTATGATTACAGGCATACACTGGCTTCTTATATATTGAATCTTGTATGCTAAATTAATTAGTAGCCGCTATGATCCTCTTTACATTCGTATGCTAGTAGTTCGGAAGCAGCCGCGTTATTATTCAACAGTCGTACATTCTTCCGAACCACACACTGATTGAAATGATGAAATAAGTATAATTCAGTTATGTAATAACTCTACGTTCTTCCGGTATGAATAATGTAGCAGAGTTAATCACATGTATTATATAATTATATATCAAGACTTAATGAGTAGCTCTGAGAGCTGTAAAAGTTCATTCTCACACTATAGAGATATATTAATATTTCTAAACTGATTGTATAACTGTGTCTAAGATTGAGATTAGAATATTTAATATTTTTATTACTAATTTAATTAATCTCATTATACAGTTTTAAGATTAGATAGTAGTTTTATACTGTTTCAGTGAGACTTACTGTCTACTCTTATTATATTTTTTAAATGAAATCATGATTTCTACTTCTTAATTTAAATTCTTTTTATTACTTTAAATCACTTTAAATCTTTTTTAAGTGTTATTAAAAAGTATTACTTTTTAAAAAATTAAAAATAGTCTAAAAATAATCTTACAATGTTTAAAAATAGTAACTTTATACTAAGAATAGAACTAAATAAGATTAAATAAGATTACTTTCTTATTTTTTTTAAATCATGATTTTATTTTAAGATCTGATAAATAGTTACTTTGTATGTTTTTTTAATGATTAGTCTCAGTGAGATTCATGTCAAGAAATGTATAAGACTAGATCAAATGAGATTAAATATGAAATTCATGGTTTCAGTGACCAGTCTAGATATTTCTGATGCAGAAATGTAATAGAGCTTCAACAGGCTAAGAATGCCTAAATTTTTGGTAATAAATGCAAGTGACACCACTCAATCCCTCCCCTAAAAATCAGGCATCACTGAGCCTTACACATTACCATTTGTAAAATCAAAACCATAAAACTTACCAGTGAACCTTTGCAGTGCGCCTCGATACCGGGCTATCTCCTCGTCTGGCCGCGAGGACACAATTAGCGTATTTTTCTGCCACCCCAATTTATGACTGCTTATTGGCTGGAAGTCGTTAATCTAGCTTGCCTATTGGCCATGTCAAGGCGGTAAGGCACGACAAGCCAAAGAACCACAATTACCCGTCAGATTTCTCCGTCGAACATGATCACACAACAATCTTCGAATAATACATTGAACAAATTGTTATTATTCATTCACTCAATATGACCTCCTCAGGCCCTTGCGCAGCGTGTAGCTGGACTACTGAACGCCAAAAGCATTGTAACTACAAAAGCCATGTCAATCTATTCTACGAAGCAGGCGATCGAGGCGTCTGGTCATTGGGCTCAAATTTGATTCTTAAAGATCGAGGTGCTAGGCTTCCGACCATTGAAGTACCAAATATTCAGTTTGTGCAGGAAAAGACATCCATTCCTGTTCCCACCGTTGTCGAATCTTGGAACGAAGGCGAACACACCCTTATCTTAATGAAGCGTATTCCTGGCGAGCCCCTCAGCAACGTCTGGCCGCAGCTTTCCACAGGTCAAAAAGAAATGATAGCTAGGCAGACAGCTGAGTATCTGCTAGAACTTCGCAAGCTTCAGTCCGATAATATCCAAGCGCTTGATGGCCGTCCTGTTTATTCCAATTTCCTGTTCAAAGACAAAGACTCCGAGCTTCCTCACGGTCCTCTAGCATCGGATGACGAACTCTGGGCTGATATGGAGCGTGGGTTGAAAGAAACCATACCCGAGGCTGCGCGAATACGACTTCGACATTGCATGCCATCCGCTACGCCTTATACCTTTACGCATGGCGACCTCACTAATGTCAATATCATGGTTGAAAACGGCTCTGTTACTGGCATAATTGATTGGGAGATGTCTGGTTACTTTCCAGTATGGTGGGAGTATGTTTGTACATCAGTCCCTGATAGTATGGAGGACAAGGAGTGGAAGGCTTTGCTACGAAAGTATATGCCCGATCACAGTGTCGCGCGTGAATTTTGGCTGGATTATTATTATCTCTGCAGGGATCCAGAAAGTGAAAGAGCAATGAAGTTCATCGAAGAAACAAGGAGTGAGAACCTTTAGGGAGATATTTAACCTATCTCTCTTAAAAGATCGACGGGATTTCTTATCGGTATCTCAAACACTTCTTTTCTACGTTATCATGTCTTGCATATAACTATCCCTAGCAAGAAATCCCATACTTTATGGTAGGAATGTCTCGGCAATAGTGAATTTGTATCATGATTTTCAATGGGACAGCGAAGTTTTTAAGGTGGCTGGAAAATGCTGAAGCAACAGTGATATGTTTTATTTACTAGAATAAAGCTAGACATGTATAAACGGGTGACAAAAAGCAAGTTGATATGCTAGAAATAATATCATGTGAACACAGAAGGACACGGATAAAAAGTGACACAAAAGCCCCAATTAATACAATTTCCTCGTGTTCCATACCTTTGAACGAGCAAATGAAGATTAGCCCTCGTCCATGATGGAGAGAGTACGGGATATATCGATATATCTTTGAAGCCGATAAGCTTAGGCTATTGAGTAAAGGAAGGAAGCACACCAGAGGCTCAAGCCAGGCCTTTTCCTTTGAGCCTGGCTCTTAGATTTAGGCCCCTTTCATAGCTTTGGGCAGTTCGGCACCGCAACTTTCGCAATTGTCCTTGTAGGTCGGGTTATTGTGGTTGCACTTGGGGCACTTCATGGTTGATGGTTGCGATGGATTGCAGCGAATTTATTTGGAGCTAGCTGAGGAGAATATGATAGTGGAATGGATGGAATGATTGATAGCCCACTCGCCTGGCGAGAGGGCTGTATTTATAGGGTCACTCCTGCAGACCTGAACCAACACCCTTGTGGTCATGGGAGTCAAACATATGGGCAGAACTTGAACCAGCAGGTCTTCGCGATGGTCCACCAGCGCGTTACAATAAAGGGATGTAACATGATTAAGCGGCTACAGTCAGACTTAATCCTTGAGGGCCCTGGGGTCCCTTAAGAATTGATCCTTTTGGCCCAGTTGTTTTCCAACAGCCACACACAGACTGTCAGCCAATAGAATTGATGGAACTGGCCAGTTAGGTCCACGAAAGTGATTGCTTCGGGGTTATGCCTTAATATATCAGGATTACAGGGTTTCTCTAGCCAGGCATAATTCATGCGCCGATATCACACTCCAACTCATCAGGGAGAAAGTATGGCTCCTCGATTAGATTCGCCAGCGTCATCTAAGCTCCAAATCTATAAGTCGGGTCGGCGGGAAGTCCCATGAATTGAGAAATCATACCTTCATAGGATTTCAATCGTCGTGGCAGCTTTCGCAACGACCATGGCGACAGAGACTGTTATGACAAAGGCTGCCTCGATTATGCTGTCGACGACAGGTACAGCACACCCAGCTGAACGAACCTACTCTGAGTAAAATTGCTTATTAAACAACGATATATGTTGGCCGTTGCGGCTATTGGCTGTGGCGATTTCTCCAGATCACGTGACCCACCACTATATTAAGCTCTTTGTAGATAGATCTATCAATACAACCTTCAACTATTATATAGATTATAGCCTTAAGAGCATATTATTCTTTTTAGAATATTATATTAATATTTTGATATAAGTAGTTTATCTTATCTTTTTCAGAACAACTCTTACTTTTTACTAGAGATATTTTATTCTCTGTGAATTTATTAGTCAGCAGATTTATATTCTTTTTTTTTTTTTTTTTTTTCTTCAAAAAGAAAATGCATTCATTATTATAAAGAATATCACTATTTTTACATATTTAAAAGAAGTAGAGTTATCTTAATATAAGTAATATATTTATTACTTCAGAGTTCAGCTTAAGACTTAAAATTACTCACTTTACTAGATAACTTATTAATAAAATAATTACTTATTATAAGAAGAATTCTGAGTTATAAGATAAGAGTAATATCAGTTTTCACTAAAGTATGAAATTCAATGATGAGATTGTCAGGTCACGTGATCTGGCTTACTAATCCTTCCACCATATAACTTTTCACAAGCTAGCAACCTTTCAATCACACAAGCTTTACACCTTTCACAGGTTATGAGACCTGTTTTGCGCAAAATCGCTGCCAATTCAGGATTTCTTGTCAATATAATCATTATTTGAACTACTGCTTCATTTGATATGCTCATCAGGAGTTAAAATCATCTTATTCTATCAGTATTGATGTGTTTGAGATCTTGATAATCAATAATACTACTGCTCACTTAAAAAAGAGGCTTGCAGAAAACACATCACATTTGTAAAAAAGTAAGAAAAGAGAATAATATTGACAAGGATTCAATAAATGAATATCAAGATGGCAGATTCAATATGATCTCGCCCACATACATGTTCGCGATCTTGTGTCCTTTTCACTGAATCAGTTGCAGTTGATAATGATGATGATTCTTCACACTCATGCTCTGCCAGTGAACATTCTTCTGAAGCTTGTGAAAGCTTCATTGATGAACACTCTGAAACACTCTCTCAATTCGAAGCTGGTTTGAATACAGCTTCTGACACAGTCAGGCCGGCCCCCTGATCTACTCAACAGCTTGATGCTGGTTCTCTTGATGAGAATAATGAACACTCAGGTGTCTACTGTTCAGACAAGGCAATATCAGATCAACAGATGAAGCATCTCAAGATAATGCTTGAGATGAACAAGAGGAAGCAAAGAGTCTTAGAACTCAAACTACAACTGGAAAAACTTTGTCAACAGAGATTCTCTATAGATTGATCACAGAATGTCAACAATCATTCTATCATCACATCAACAGTCACATGGAATTCTAATCTCAGTGAAAGGTTGGAATTCAATCTTTATGAATTGAATAGCCATGTTGACAAGGCAATCTCTCAATTCAAGAAAGATGTCAAGAATACTGTGAGACTAAACAGTCTGACTGACACATTCAATTACATCACATAAAGCATCTTCATGAAATTGAAACTGGTTGATACACAGTGCTGATATATGATAGAGAAATGACAGATTCAGAACTCTCTACAAAGAGATGATGAATAAGCATCATTCTGAGACATCAGAAACTGGTGGCTCTACACATTCATCTTGAACTGCTTGAGTGCAGGAGTCAGACCACATTTCTCCAAGTATGATGAAAATCAGATTGCTTATACTCTATGAAATGTGATTGAACAGAAATACTCTGTTCTCAAAACACAGTTATGCTGTGAGACAGTTCTGGAATTCATGTCTCTTAGTGACACACAGGTCACCAATCTACACACATTCTTTGATAAGTTCTGGTTCATCATTATGAAATTGAAGATGTTGAATACTTCCTCTTCAGATGCATGAATATTTGATATCTTCTACTCAGTTCTACTCAACAATTGAAGGAATTATATTCAGAAGAAGATAGAGAAGATACAGGATTTCAAATTCACAGCTGTGATATTGAATGTTGATCTTCTCATGAAGGAAATCTGTTCATGGCTTGATTCTTCAAAAGATAAAAAGAATCTGCACAATATAGATTCTGTGGTCAACACAGCTATAACAGCTACAATGGCCACAATGACTATCAACAACAATACATTGAATTCAGCCCGTGAAGGTCATACTGAACATGGTCATGATAGTACTCAAGAGAGCTTCTGAAATCATCAGAGATCAGGAAATTCATCTATCTGTTCTGAATGTGAGAGATCTCACTTTGACATCTGTTGATTAATCAATTCAGACAGTGCTTCAGATAATTGAAGGATAAACAATACTGCAAGAATAAAGGAATTCAAGGAAAAGAAGAAAAAGAACAATAGTGAGAGTAGAACTCAACTATTCATTACAGATGAATCAGACATCTATCAGATGACAAATCTCACAGAGGTTATCAATGTGTCAGTCTGTTTTGTGGAACCTCACAAGGATTCTCTCACTATATGAAATAGTGGCACCGGATGCCACATAGTGAGTGATAGATTACAATTTTCAGAACTTATAGCAATCAATGATCCAACAGTTCAAGTGATCAACAAGGTCATTATAAAGATTCAGAGTGTCAGCACTGTATTCATCTCAGTGAGTGAAAGATTGATAGAATTCAATCATGTATACTATGTGCCAGGACTATTCACAAATCTGATCTCTGCTGAGCTTATGAAATGTCAGAGCTATATTTGTCATGATATACAAGTTGATGCTGAAAACTACTTTGAGTTTCTATCATCTATCAACAGTGATATCTTCTACACTAATCTGTCTCACAATAATATTTACATTCTATCTGACAGCTCACCGACATTTCATGAAGTAATGAATGACTCAATGTATAAAGCAGTGACATATGTGGCTGTTCTGAAACCAAAGACAATCTCAACAGATTATGATCTGAGTGCTGAGTCTTTGAGATCTTTCAGCTGTGAGAAGGTTGAACAGTTAATCAACTCTAAGAATTCAGATACTGATTTCTTTATTATCTCATCTTTATCTTGGTTATCTGCAGTTCTTCTGAAACAGCTTCTGATAGATGAGTGACATCATCAACTTAGTCATATCAGTGAAAATAGTATATTAGAAATGACCAGAGACCTGTGATTTGATATTATCATTATCAGTCTGAAGAAATTATCATTCTGTGTCATATATATTAAGGCTAAACAGAAACATACTTTCTACAAGGATTCCACACCACATTGTGCCACCCGCAAGGCCTTGAAGGTTTGAGTGGATATATTCAGTGATGGTGAGACTCTTGGAACTGAGAATGATATATCATCTTACACTGGCAAGAAGCTTGCAATGATGATAACAGATGATGCCACCTGTATGAGGTGAATATTCCTATTGAAATGCAAGGATGAGACATTGAGATATCTACAGATCTTCAACCAATTCATCAAGAATCTGCTGAGACATGGCATTGCAATCATTCACTCAGATTGTGGAGAATTGAATTCAAATGCAGTCACAGCATACATGCTCAGTGAAGATATAAAATGAGAGCTGACTCTCTCTCATACTTCACAGTAAGATGAAGTATTTGAACAATCAATCAATTTGATTATTGAGAAGTTCTGATCACTATTAATAGACTCTTCAGCTTTAGAAAAGATGTGAGATGAGGCAGTTATTGCAGTCACAGAGCTGCTTAATCTTATGTCAACCTCAATAATATTATATGAGGGCTCTGAAAATACAAAGCTCATTACACTCTATGAGGCCTGACTTGAAGCTCTATCTTCTGCACATGACATTTGCTGATGAAGTTGTAAAGCATTCTTGAAGATTGTTCTCAAGCTCATCAATAAGATGGCTTCTCATTTCAAAGAGTTGATTTTTATAAGTTATGATGATTTTATCAATTATAGATTGATGAATCCCTTCAACAGATGTTTATACATTTCAAAAGACATCATCTTTCAGAAGAACCTTCATCTTGCCAATTCATCAATATTGATAATACACAACCTGAAGGTTCTACTCAATGCAGTCTGTAAAGCAGCTGCAGTGATTTCTTCAGTGACATCAGGTCTACTCACTGCAGTCTGTCAAGAGACTGCAGTGATTCCTGATTCATCAATTGATGATCTGTTCATTGATGAGAAAATTCAACCTGAGTGTTCATTATTTCTTATACTCACTAATAATTGATGAATTGACTATAATATCTCTGTAAGAATACCTACCTTTTTAGTGCAGAATACACTGAACTTCTCAGAACTCACAGTTGAATCTAATGATTCTCTGACATCTACAAGAAATATCACTATAGTGAGAGAATCAACAGTGAGGAAATCTTCAGTGAGAGACAGTCTTGAAGATCTACTCCCTGATTCTGAGATCACTGCACTTCTGATCCTGAAAAACCTCATGTATATCAAAGCTTTCATAGAATGAAAGTATTATTACAAGACCTGTGTTAAAGAGATCAACTGTTTAAAATAGATAGAGGCCTGATAACTGATTGAGAGAATATTATAAATGAGTGTTCTCTGCAGTCAATGAGTATTTGACAAAAAGTTCAATAATATGAGTGATGTTATCTGCTATAAGATTCACTGAGTTGTCTGCAGAAATCTTCAATAGAAGAGAGTCAATTACTCAAGAATCTTTGCACCTGTCATCTCTGCATTCATCTCATGAGCTCTCATGATGATCTCAGCATCTCAGAGATGATATGTTCTGCAGATTGATATGGTGATTATCTTTTTAAATGCTCAACTGTCTGCTGATGAATAGATATATATGAATCAATTCACAGAATTCTGTAAAGACTGTGATGATCTTGTATGTAAGTTAATGCAGAGACTATACAGTCTTAAGCAAGCAGCACTCTTATGATATGAGAAGCTGTGAAAGATGCTATTACACTCAGACTTCTGTGTCAGTCTCTATGATGCTGGACTATTTATTCATGATGGAAGACAGGTTTATATAATCATCTATGTGAATAATGTCCATCTCTACAGCCTGA